GAAACACAGCTGAGAAACTTTAATTTGAGAAGAATTATTGTTTTGCCAAACGAGTATTGTTACATTAGCTGAGCACTGTATTTAAATTACTTTCTGTTACAATAGGTCTCACTTGGACTATTTGGACAGTTCAGTACTGTACACAGTAAGGTAGAATTGCACTAATGAAATCAAGCTGCAAGTACATTTCATCTGCCATTTGGTACTTTCAGTGCTTCATAATTAACTTTGTTCAAAAATTACCTCTTGAAGCCCAAGGGATTAATTTTCCCTTAACTATATTTGTGCATTACAAGAAAAACAGTCATCCCTTGGTTTCCTGGCCTTGGATGAGCAGTTTACTGCATTTTTAACCTACAGTAATTGTAGATGAATTCCAGGTGCGTGCTTGCCCCTCATGGAGTGAATTTCATGCTGTTTGATTTCTTTTTATTTAACTCTGGAACAGACATGCCCTAAACCAGTTTTCCATGCTCCCGGTGGCCCTGCCCAGCATGACCTGACCATTAGAGAGGTACTGACAGCAGCTCTGAGCCCAGGGACCAGGATAGATGCTGGAACACAGCACCATCTGGCATACAACCTCCCAGGTTCCAGCACTTAGCAGTTTAACAACACATTCCTGGTATTTTTTCTTACACTGGATCACCCACTTTTTAATCCCCTCCCCTCCAATTATTTCTCTTCATCCTTAACCACTGGCTAGTCTAGTCTTTATCCCTCACCTCGGAAGAGTGCTGATCTTGCGTTTGTCAGACAACTTCTGCAGCCTCCTTGGCATATATTTACCTTCCGGAAGAAGATAAACAGAGAAAGGCAGGTGATTCCTGCCAGTGTCAAGGAGAGGCTCTCAAGACAGGCTCTTGCCAAATTAATTCCATGCTACTAAAATAACCCAGTGAGAAAAGGTCATCTTGAATTCAACTTTTTTTACACAGGCAATCACATTACCATATATCAAAGACACCAACCTGCATTAAAAGGAGTTGATGCAGATGAGCACAAATATTTCAATGTCCAAACAAATTTCCCAAGCCCTCCCCCTAAACTATTTTGGGATGATACTGAATGGCAATGTTAAACATTCCAAGAATTTGAGAATAATTTGAATTTGTTTGCTTTCCTTTTCACTGTTTTTGATCAGCTTAGAACCCAGTGAACACCTACCAAACTTTCAAGAGTCTAAACCTACTTTAAATAAGCAAAACCATAGAATTGTTCACAGACGTGTATCAAGGAGTTTTTCCAACATCTCTAGTTCTTAGGTCATTATTAAAGAATACTCTAGATCCCAAACAGGAAACATGAACCATTAATAATGCCCTACACTAAAGAAGACATTTATGAGCTCTGGCATTCCTACTACAACTGATACTGAGGAGGATTGTTTTAGGACACACGGGTCTGTCTGCAGCACGGGAGAATACCTCCTGAGAAGACTCAGCAACAAAGTCCAGACCTGGCCCAAAGAAGCACCAAACCATTCCTTAGCCTCGTGATGAGCTTGGGATGTAAGGGAAAAGCTACGCACATATTGCCACCTGAATTTTCTCCATCTAAACCACTGCAGACAAAAGTGTTTTAAAAAGGGCACTCAGAGAAGAGAACGACACTTTGTCTGCTCTCCAGGACGGTGACCACCTCGTAGAACAGGCGGTTACTCGTAAGTGAATTAGGCTATATGAACTAACGACTGTTCATCAGCTAAACGGGGACAGAAAGTCTGTTGAGAACGCGTGTGCTGTCGCTTGCAGCGTGTCAGTCTTCGTGCCACGTGGGCATGACTGAAGGCCTTCGGGAGACGGGAGGCAAAGAAGGAAAGAACAGAGATGGCTGGCATGACGGCGTACTGCCCATCTTGTAGGGGAAATCAGTCTGTCTGTTAAGGAGAGGAGGAAGGGAAAGAAGACATGCAGATGGTCTGACTCCCAGTGGTGACAGGAGCAGTTGGTCTCCCTTCTTTCCGACAGTGACAGTCGCTGTCACCTTATTTTGAAGTCTCCTAACGAAGAAGTGGGAATCAGTATGGTACTGAAAAGGGCAAATGGATAAATCACATCACTAATCGCAACCGTGTGGTCTAGGAAGAGTGATGGAGGTGGAGCCTGGTGACAGCCTGTGATAGCTGAATGTGCACTTTCCCACCCCAAGAACTTCAGCCTAAGGAGGAAATAAAGTTTCCACTACTTATTACAGAACAAGGTCTGTTCAAGCCAGCTACTGAGTGCGTGTTTACAGTGCTGCTGTCCTAGCAGCACATGACAGCTCGGGACCCATAGGCTGCCATCTCATTCAGTCCCACTTCACTGCAGTATCTTTTTAAATAGGACAAGAGATCTTACGCACATGCTCTGTTATCAAAATAGGAAGGTGCCAAAAAATGTCCCCCTAGAGTAAGATTATTTTTTCTATTAACTCTGTACTGCACCCAAAAGACACTATTTTGCCTAAGAAGCAGCCAGTGCTCCAAAATATATAGAGAGAGATGGATGGATTTTGGTTTGGGGAGGAATCACAGACTCACAGAATGGTTTGGGTTGGAAGGGACCTTAAAGCCCATCCAGTTCCAACCCCCTGCCATGGGCAGGGACACCTTCCACTAGACCAGGTTGCTCCAAGCCTCATCCAGCCTGGCCTTGGACACTTCCAGGGATGGGGCAACCACAGCTTCTCTGGGCAACCTGTCCCAGTGCCTCACCACCCTCTGCGGGAAGAACTTCTTCCTGATATCCAATCTAGACCTCCCCACTTTCCATTTAAACCCGTTACCCCTTGTCCTGTCCCCCCCGCAGCTTCCTTGTAGCCCCTTCAGGCACTGGAAGGTGCAATAAGGTCTCCCCGGAGCCTTCTCTTCTCCAGGCTGAACAAG